CTATGAAGAACAGTTTGGAGGTTCCTCAAAAAACTAAAAATAGAGCTACCACATCATCCAGCAATTCCATTGCTGGGATATGCCCAACAGAAAAGAAATCAGTGTATTGAAGAGAGATCTGTGCTCCCATGTTTATTGCAGCACTATTCATGATGGTCAAGATTTGGAAGCACCTAAGTGTCTGTATTAGTCCATTTTCATGCTGCTGATAAAGACATAACTGAGACTGGGTAATTTATAAAGAAAAAGAGGTTTAATAGACTCACAGTTCCACGTGGCTGGGGAGGCCTCACAATCATAGCAGAAGGCAAATGGCATGTCTTACATGGTGGCAGACAAGACAGAATGAGAGAGCTAAGCAAAAGGGTTTCCTCTTATAAAACCATCAGGTCCTATAAGACTTATTCACTACCACGAGAACAGTATGGGGGAACCATCCCTGTGATTCAATTGTCTCCCACTGGGTCCCTCCCACAACACGTGGGAATTATGGGAGCTAAAATTCAAAACGAAATTTGGGTTGGGGACACAGCCAAACCATATCAGTGTCTATCAATAGGTGAATGGATAAAGAAAATGTGGCACATATACACAATGGAGTACTCTTCAGCCATAAATAAGAATGAGATCCTATCATTTGCAACACAGGAGGTTGAGGCAGGAGAGTCGCTTGAGCCCAGGAGACAGAGGTTGCAATGAGCTGAAATTGTGCACCGTACTCCAGCTTGGGTGACAGAGTGAGATCCTGTCTCAAAAAAAAAAAAAAAAAAGGCAAGGCATGGTGGCTCAAGCCTGTAATCCCAGCACTTTGGGAGGCCGAGGCAGGAGGATCACCTGAGGTTAGGAGTTCAAGACCAGCCTGGCCAACACGGCGAAACCCTGTCTCTACTAAAAATACAAAAATCAGCTGGGCATGGTGGTGTGTGCCTGTAACCCCAGCTACTTGGGAGGCTGAGGCAGAAGAATCTCTTGAACCCAGGAGGCTGAGATTGCAGTGAGCTGGGATCACGCCATTGCACTACAGACTGGGCAACAAGAGCAAGACTTTGTCTCAAAAAAAAAAAAAAAATTCAAGATGCAAATAATGGGGACCTTGTCCTAACAAATGACCTCATGACCCTCTGCTGCCACTGAAGCTGGGGAGTGGAAAACAGCTAAAGAAGAATTGCAGTAGCCAACCAAGCTTGTCTGTGTTTCTCCCTTCTACAGGCTTATTTTATGGTGTCTGAGGAAATTGTTCTCTGGGGCCCACAAGGCAAAGCTATGTCCCAGGGACAGGACAGGTGGAAGAAGGTGGCCTCTGTGAAGGGCCAGAGCCAGGGAGAGAGCCCTGGGCAGGAGGGGGAAGAAGAAGCAGCTGTCCTTGCTCCTGGCACCTGGGCTGGTTTCATGTTCCTTTCTGTGTTTATTTCCCCTTTGTCATTCCTGAACCTTGAACAATATTGTGTTAAGTACCCCAATCTTGACTCAGCTGTATTTAGGGAAATTGAAGCAATGATCCCAGATCAAACCTGGGCTGGGCCAGCCACCTAAAGCTAGCAGGGAGTGGCCATAGAGCTCTGTATCAGAGAGCCAAGGGGAGCAGAATCCCGGAAGACGAATGAGACTTCAGAATCCAATCTTGAGTCGTAAACGCTAAGCCTGGAGAATTGAGATTTGATTTTATTACAAGTCAGTTCCTGTACAGATCGTCTCCCTGCAGCTCAGATCTGCTCCCTGGCTTTTCCCTACCATGAGGTCTCCCAAAGGCCACATCACTCAGAGCTTTCTGCCATTCCCTTCTCTAAGGGTCAGGGCAAACAGGGAGTTTTCCATTGATGGGAAAATCTTCCCATCCTTTTTTACAGCCCAACTTTGCTCTGCCCAAGAGCAAGCCTGCAGTCATCCAAATGTGATTATAAATACATTCATAAACAGATTCCACTCCTCAAAGCTCTCTCACCGTGGAATGGGTTTATGCCAGCAAGGTTATAGAGTCTGCCCCCATATCCATGGATTCTGTGTCCATAATTCAACCAACCAAGGATTGAACATATTTGGAAAAAACTGCATCTGTACTGACCATGTACAGACTTTTTTCCTTGTCATTATTCTGTAAATAATACAGTATAACAATTATTTCCATAGCATTCACATTGTATTAGGTATTCTAAGTAATCTAGAGATGATTTAAAGTATACAGGAGGATGTGTGATTTAAGAGATACAGGAGGCTGCATGCAAACACGACACCGTTTTATATCAGGCACTTGAACATCTGTGGATTTTGGTATCTGTGAGGGGTACCGGAGCTAATCCCCCACACATACTGAGTGACGACTATATATGGAATGTGAACAGAATTTTCCCACTGACTTCCATTAGGCAAGCAGAGCTGTGTTTCTCTCCAAGAAAGGAGGGTAGAGGAGCAGAGCCTGGGAGTGGGAAAAGAAGGGAAGGAGGCCAAACGGAGATCTCATTACTCCAGGCTGTGGTTTTAATTCCATCCTTCTCTCACAGCCTCTGCTCCACCCTCTGTTTATTAAGGGGGCCAAATTAAATACATGAGATGTAACTGCAACATGGAGACCCTGGCTCAGTCTCCAGAGACTGTGGGGTGCGGGGAGAAGTGGTGCAGGGGAAGCCAAAACAAACAAACCACGAATCCAGGAGGAGAGAGAAGGCAGAAAAGCAAACTATCAGGGACCGTTTCAACAACTCGGCCCTGCCTCCAGTCTGCAAGGAGGGGCCCTGCCCATCTCCCGTGGCAGCCACCCCACCTGAGTGCACTGGGAGGGTTCTCCGGCCCACAGAGTCACCTCCTGGCCTGCAAGGCCCCAGCCCTTAGGGAGTGACCAGACCTGGCCAGTGATACGCTATCCTCCTTCCCTCGCTACCATGCTGGTCCTGCGCTGTCAGGCTATCTCTCCGCAATTCATCCCCTCCCTTTCTAACCAATTTTCCACCTCCACACCTCGTCCCTCCTTTTCCTCCTCATCCTAATCCACGATGTCCTTTGGCCTGTCTGTTTGATGCTTTCCCTCCGTCAAGCTGCAGCTCAAGTCTTTGCTCCTTCAGAGACAACTGGGACCCTCCAGGCAGCCCCCACTAACTCCCTGCCTGACCCGCCCACGAAACCTTCAGCCTTTGCCTCTTGCCTCCTTCCTCCCCTCTCCCCACTTCAAAGCTGCTCTCAGCCCATGGCTCCTTCCCCAAGGCATAGAACCTGCACACAGCACTTCATTTTCTTAAGCCCTCCTCCCATGACCTTGAATCTTCTCAACAGTCTGTCCGGTGCCCTCTGGGCCCTTGCTTTTCCAGCCGCACCACAAAGACGGCCATGACCTTTGGAGCCTGGTCCAGTGACACAAGCTTCCTGCCGACTGCTCCACAGTGCCCGGTGCCAGCCACAGCCATGCCCTCAGCTTGCATGATGTGGCCTCTCCTGCTTCTCCCTGTATTCCTTTTCTGACTTCTCTTCAGCCAGCTACTCAAATACGATGTTCTCCAGAATTTTGTCCTAGATCCACTTCTCACGCCGTCACCTCCCGGGATGACCTCAAATCCACCCCCTGCTCCCCTCTCCTTTCAGATGCAGAGGGTGCCCCAGGCTTCCACATCCATTTATTTGCCTGATGTGCCAGTGACCCTCCCCACAGTGTCCCCAGCCCTCCATCCACCTGCATTCCCTTTGTCCAGGCCTGGAGAGACAGCCTCCTACCAGCTCCTGCCCAGAGACCCTCACCCAGCCCCTCCCCCTGCCTACTGGCTGCCAGTCATATAGCTAGAGAATGCAAGGGACATTATTTTGTTGACAGTCACTAGATGCCAGGCACTGTGCCAAAAGCTTTCTCATATGCCATGCCATTTACTCTTCCAATGACCCTGTACTTTAGATATTATTACAGTTGAGATGGAGCAAGGACCCCTTTTTTAGGGACCTACAGGCCCCCCAAGCATGGAAATAAAGGAAAATCTTGAATTCCTTCAAGAGAAATTTCAGGGACCTAGCTAGTCCTGAGACATAAATAAACAACTTGATAAGCAAGAAGGTAATAATAACTAAAAATAACAGCCAAGAAAGTTAGGGTCAGATGTTTGGTTCCCTATAGAAACTAAAGATAACATCTTAACATATGTCCCTGAGTTGTTTTTCAAACACCTGGACCCCTATCAAACAGATCCACCAGCACACAGGCAGCAGCTAAGGGGGAAGTGGGGACTGAGCCGACCACTGTTCTTGGTTCTAAATTTCTTCCTGCGTGGCCTGAAGGGAGTCACACCCACGAGCCAGAGTTAACATTCTTCTCTGGCCCCTGGTCCCAAATTTTTAAACAAAGCTTCTCTCTTCCTTAACCAACTGCAAATCAGAAAACTTTGAATCTACCTGTGACCCGTAAGCCTCGCCTCACGATATCCTACCCTTTCAGACCAAAACCAATGTGTGACCTCCATGTATTCATTTATGATTTTACCTATAACTTCTGCTTCCCTGAAATTTACCCCTGCCTTTAAAAACCCTTACCTCCAAGCCATCGGGGAGGCCAGGATTTTAGCATGAGATGCCTGGTGCTCCTTGCGGGTGCCCTGCAATAAACACCTTCTTTTCTCCTGCTGCACAACCTCAGTGTGGATGTCTAGTCTTACTGTGCCAGACGACTAGACCTAGTTGAGTTCTATAACACACTCACTTTTACTTGTGGGGAAACGGAGCCTCAGAAAGGATAAGCAACCTTCCCAAGTCTTAGAGCCACCGGGGCAGAGCCTTGAGCACTTGGAGCCTGGGTCAGCCTCAGTCCCATGCCTCAGCCCCATTCATTTCCTTCTTGTTCCCCAAAATGCAGACCTGGTCACGCCAGTTCATTACCTCTTCATCGCTCTCCAAGTGAAATGCAAACTCCTCAGCCTTGTGTCCAGGATTCTCCCCAGGCTGTCCCAGCCCACACCCTACCCCAGCCAGAAAGAACAGCCATGCTTGCCTCCACCCACTGATGTCTATCTTGCCCCTGCAGCCTCCTCTACCTTAAATAGACTTCTCTCCTCTCTGTCCAATGAGCTTCTCATTCCTTCAGACCAGACAGTAGGTGCCTTCCCTGGGAGGCCTCCCAGGCTCTTTGGAGTTCTCAGAATGTCTGCATTTGCTGGGTGCTGGCACTCACCACACTGCCTTGTAATCACTTGTTCAATCTTTCAAGTGTCATTTTAGCTTTGCAGTCCTGTGGCCCAACACAGGTCCCTGTGCATCAAGAAGAGCCTCAGTAAAAGCTGAAAGAAAGAGAGGACAAAAGACGGGACAAGCACCTTAGCCATATCTTCTCAAAGTGGGGTACCCAGGCTAGTGGTGGCAGAAGATACCTTGACCCCACCTCCGAGTCTGACAATCAGACCCTCTGGGGCTGGGGGCTGGGGATCTGCATTTTAAATAAGCTCCCCCAAGAGATTCTCATATACAGTGAAACTTGAGCATCTCTGGTCTAGACCGGTGCTCATCCCAGTCCTTACTAGGCCAGCCTCACAGGATGAGATAGTCAGCTGCTATCTGATTAGAGATAACCAGGACAGTATCCTCCAAACTCTTACATCCAACATGCATAGAAGACAACACTACTGGGGCACTCTGGCATAAACAGACAAAGCTGGTCAGAGCTATAGGTGAAAGGCTTGGGAACTTGTACCACCCTGGGCTCCACCAAGATCAATACCTCTGCATACCTGGAACCCATTCCTGACACCCCACTTGGGAAGCTCTGATTACTAAGAGCTACCAGCAAGCACTAGAAGCCAGACACAGCTGCCTAGCACTCACATGGGTTCTCATGCTAACGAGCTTGCATGAAGCCCTGGTGAGGCCTCACGGTCAGCCAGGACTGAAATAGGAATGTGGTTCTCTATAGCTTGACACCATTCCCACCACAGGACATTAGCTTTGGGTCTCCTGGCCCTGGGAACCACACATAAAGGAAAGAAAATGTGAGAGCTCTGGGTACCCCTTGCTAGACCTGAGATTGTCATATCCAAGGCAACCCCTGGGGTCCATTCCTCAAACCTCACCCTGCACCCCCTCCCTGGATGTGAGACAGGTAGCCAGAGATTATCTGTGAGCAGGATGGTGGGTTTTTCCCTGCCCAAGGAAGGCTGCTTTGGTGACATGATAAAACCTTTTTCAGTGACTTACTTAATGTAATGAATGGAGAGACGGGTTATAAGTCTACTAGGTTCTTGCAGCTGATGTGAACTCTAAAATCACCCTCCAAAGAACTGCTATTTGCCAGGTAGTGTAAATTCTCTATGGGCCCCACACCTATCTGCTGACCTTTCTGGAGGCCTGAAAATGTAGAAAATTTGCCTTCACAAAACATTAAGGAAGAATTGCAAGTTGGAAGGGTCCCTAAGTCACTGAATGTTTGGATAAGGAGCTGGTTCTCTGAATGCTCCTAAGAGTTGCAGCTCCCGCTTGAGAGAAATGCATCTGGCCAGTAACAAAACAATTATGATGATATACCAATTTGCAAAAATGTCTTTATCCTCAGGATTTAACCAGTTAGCAGAAGAATTTGTATTCTATGAAGAGCTTGGGGGCTCTGAGTAAAGGGCCATTGCTGGTGGGGTCCCTGGTGCCTAGCAGTATAAAAAATAAATTGACATTCAACAATTTATAAATCACTGGCTGGCTGGCTGGATTGATAGCTGGATGGATGGATGGATGGATGGATGGATGGATGGATGGATGGATGGACGGATGGATGGATGGATGGATGCATGGGTGGATGGATGGATGGATGGATGCATGGGTGGGTGGGTGGCTGGGTGGGTGGATGGATGGATAGATGGATGGATGGATGCATGCATGGATGCATAGATGGATGCATGGTGGATGGATGGATGCATCGGTCCGTGGATGATGGATGCATGGATAGAAGGATGGATACATGCATGCATGCATGCATACATGGATGGATGGATGGATGGATGCATGCATGCATGGATGGATGGATGGTGGATGGATGGACAGATACATGGATGCATGGATGGATTCATGGATGGATGGATGGATGGATATATGGATGCATGGATGGATGCATGGATGAATGGATGAATGGATGGATGAATACATGGATGCATGGATGGATGGATGCATGAAAATGAAATAGCTTCCCTTTTGGGGAGTTCTTTCCTTCAGCACTATCCCTAGAAGGGCCTCATTTTTATCCACGATTCCTGGCTCAAAGCTCCCATTACCCTGTTATAATGTTGGGGCACTTTAGACCTCAGAAGCAGGCCTCAGAAAACAGAATCAATCTTTCTGATCTTTTCCTGCCCTCCTTTGACCCGCTCCCGTTTCTCCTCAAGGCAGTCCCCACCCTCCACCCCACCTTTATGGTCAAGGAGCTGACCATAAAGAAATTCCCTGACCTACCTTATTAATTGTAGGTCCTAAGACCCCCATTTCAGAAGGGGTCCTGCCCCATATCCTGGAGGAAGGAATGCTACACAGAGAGGCCAAGAAGAATCTGAACAGGCAGGCCTTACTGGGTTTACCAACTCAGCCTATTAGTAGTAGATCATACCCTTTGTCCAGTCACATTTCTGCACAGTTGCCAATCATACCTATCCAATGAAGTCCCCACAAAAGGCCCAAAAGGACAGGGTCTGGGAAGCTTCTGGATAGCTGAACACATGGAGGCTTACAGGAAGGTGAACAAGACCTCATCCACTTGCTGGGAGGGTGGCACACTCCAGCTCCACAGGGATAGAAGCTCCTGCACTCAAGACCCTCCCAGACCCTCCCTAGACCTTACCTTAATCTGGCTGTTTATTTGCATCCTTTAAAATAGCCTTTGTAATAAACCAGTAAATGTAAGTAAGTTTCCCTACGTTCTGTGAGCTGCTCTAGCAAGTTAATCGAACCCAAAGAGGGGGTTGTGACAGCCCCAACTTGAAATAGGTAGGTCAGAAGTTCTGGAGGCCCAGAATTGCAAATGGTGTCTGAAGTAGAAGCAGTCTTATGGGACTGAGCCCTCAACGTGTGGGATCTTACACTGTCTCCAGGCAGGTAGTATCAGAATTGAATTGGAGGACACCCAACTGGTCTCCACTGCAGAATTCCTTGCTTGCTTGTTGTGGGGAGGAGACTACACACATTTGGTCACAGGCATCTTCTGGTTGGTCATTGTGTTGTATGAGCTGAGAGAGCACTACTTGTTTTTTCTATTCAACAGTATACACTCTTCTGGATACACTTCCCCACCATTTTGACATAGATGAAGACCGATTCAGCTGAATGGAGACGGGGCGATGTCAGGGGATGTAAAGAGAAGAGGGGGACATAGGCAGCCTCCAAAGAACATGGAAAGCAGGAGCCATTGACAGACTAGCCCAGCTCTGCATGCATCTATCTTCTTGCATTTGAGGGTTTTGGTTTTTGTTTGTTTGTTGCTTGTTTTGTTTTGGTTTTTGTTGTTATTGTTGTTTTAGCTTCCACTAGAAATGCTACCACCCTTTCCCTCCCACCTACCTCCCTCTGCTAGGGAATACAAGGACTAATTAAGCCAGAAGGACTGTATAGACCATCTAGCCTGGTCAGAGGAAGCAATCTGGCCCTTAGACATGTTTTGCTTGGCCTTTATAGCCATTTAAAACTTTGCATTAGATGTTAACTTATAAAAATTAGATCTTATATAAAAATACAGATTTTGGGGGGATTTGGGGGGAAAAAGGGAAGACATGTCAATATTTCCCTGGCATTTTCTCTTGATACCAATTAACTAGTACTGGAAATAGACTGGCCAGTCAGGCAGGGTGTACACTGTCCAGTTTGTCACAGCCCTGACCTTGCCCTACCGTAGCACCCTGCTGCTTCACTCATTTGATAGTTTCTGTCTGTTTGGTTCTCACAGTGTATAAGTCCTCTGCACAAATCCAATCTTCTACTAACAAAGTGTGTGGCACAGGGTGGGCCTTTCAAATACTATTGAATAAATGAATGCATGTGTGAATTCATTCATTAAAAGTTCATTTTTTAACAGCTAACCTTGACGTTTGCCCCAGCTGTGCTATTCCAGCTCTACCCTCCATGCCAACTCAAAGCACCCACCCCAGGAGCCCAGTCCTGGGCTTGTCCTCCATAGATCAGAACTCTCTTTCCTGTCTCTGTGCCCTGGACCTTGTTGAGATATGGTGGCTGATCTTGCAATACCAATACTCCTATTATCTACTGTCATGTCCAAGTATGAGGGGTTTTCTCATTTTTTGTTGCCCAGCATCCTTCTCCCCTGCTTTGATAACTGTTGCTCAATTTTCTTCTCCCCCATCCTCAGTCTATGGTCTTTCCAGCAGAATGGATGGCCATTCTCTACTTCCAGAAGTAAGGGGTGAGGAGAGAAGCTTATAGGCTTAAGCCAAGCACTAGACTCCAGAAAACCCTTTCCTTCTGGCCAGTGCTGGCACCTCATCCATTCAAGTCATTGAAAGAGGAGTCACTTGATCCTCAAGGAAAAGGACCCCGGGGAGCTATTGGCCGCCATACTGGGGCTATGATGAGAATGCTGGTCTGAGGGTGGAGCCAACACAAGAAAGAGGAGCCAAGTGTGAGAAAGAGAAACCGGGTTCCTATTAAATCATTAGAGTCCTGGGTACAGCCTCACCTGAAACTGACATAATCCCTAGGTCAACAAATTCTCTTTTTTGCCTAAACCAAGTTAAGATAGGTTTTCTGTCATTTGCAACAGAAAAAGCTTTTGGGGACTGGACACTTCCCCAAATATTCTCCTTTATAGAATGGCAGGTGTACAAGTCTGGGCTCTGGGTTGAAAGTGATGTATGACCAGGACATGCAGGAATCACAGGGAGTGAATAACAGTAACAGGCATGAATCTCCTTCCAGAAAAGGTGGGTAAGATTCAGCAGGTAACAACTCTCTCTGTAAGCCATTTAAATGAGCTTATTATAGTTAAAGGGTAACTAGGGGAGGGATTTTTAAAATGTTTTTCCAACATTTTAAACAAACACCGTATGTTCTCACTTATAAGCGGGAGGTGAACAATGAGAACCCATGGACACTGAGAGGGTAACTCACACTGAGGCCTGTTAGGGGTGCGGGGGGAGAGAGAGCATCAGGATAAATAGCTAATGTATATGAGGCTTAATACCTAGGTGATGGGTTGATAGGTGCAGCAAACCACCATGGCAAATGTTTATCTATGTAACAAACCTGCACATCCTGCACATGTATCCCAGAACTTAAAATAAAATTCAATTAATTTTTT